TTTGATCTACTTTGTGGTAGGTGTTTTCAGTCCTCCAGGTTTTTATTTTATTTTGTTTTGTTTGTTTGTTTGTTGCAATACTGAGGATTGAACTCAGAACTTCACACATGCTAGGCCAGTGCTCTGCTATTGGGCTATATGTCTGGCCTATTTATTAGTTAATCTTTATCCCTATGTCACACAAAACACTGTTCCTTCAGTTAATTTGTCCAACATTTGGAGGGAAATCAATTTAGCTGGTTATTATTGTCCAACATTTGTAGGGAAATCAATTTAGCTGGTTATTATTTTATTGATATTTTCATTGTCAATCATTGCATTTCTGTGTATTAAGATATGGCATGTTTTTGGCTTAATAAACTGACTTCTCAGCATAAGCACCACATTTTCATATTTAAGTATTGTTGCTCTCCAGGTGTACCTGAGGGCCTGCATCCCCACTTCAGTGATGATGTTCATTGTTTCAGACTTCTTTAGTCCATGTGATTTGGCATTTCTCTCAAGCAGTTTTGTGTCCCATTGTTCAAGGACAATATTTTATTCTTAGATCATCGATTTGACATCATTTGAAAAAATGTCAGGCCAATTAGATGCATTAACTTTGATAGCCCATTGTTCAACAGGAAGATGCAGTATAATAAGCTGATTCTTCAGAGTGATTTATTCATTAGGCTTTTCTTACATGTCTCTAAAACTGATTGTTAAGTGTCTTATCCAAGAAACATATGGTATTCTGGGCAAGATGTTATTAGAACACAGGTGTTTTTACATCAGGATTATGAGTGTTTTGAGCCTTGGCTTCCTTAAGAGTCAAGCAGCAGGCCCAGAGCCTCCAGGTAGCACATTCAGCCTACTTGTCTCATCATTGAACTCGGTTCTCTAAAAGCAATTCCAGCAACGTTCAGGGAAGCAGTAGTCTCTACAGTAAGGGAAAAACCTTGTAGAACCCTGAGCTCAGTGGAACAACTCTTGTTCAAGATTTTAAATGTTGAAACATTAGCTCAGGAGCAGGCAAACCCGTTTAGGTAAAACCTCAGAAGTTAATCATTTTAGACTCATGGCCACATATGTCATTTGTTTCACAAAGTCTACTCTGCCATTTCATGATTAAAGCAGCCACAGCTAACATGAGCAAAGAACATTGCAGCATTCCAATAGACTTTATTTAAGGACACTGATTTTGAAATTCATATTGAAAGAAATATTATTCTTGAACTTTTACCTCCCAAGTTAAAAAAAATGGAAAAAAAAAAAAAACAAACTATTTGGTTTTGGCCCATAGTTTACTAATCCTTGATATAAGTGGGGTTTTGTTTTGTTTGGTACTGAGGATTTAACACTGGGAGGCTATACCACTGAGACATATTCCCACACCTTTTCACATTTTTTAAAGACAGGGTGATGCTATGTGTATTAGGGCCTTGGTAAATTTCTGAGGCTGGCTTTAAATTTGCCATCCTCCTGTCTTAGCCTCTCAATTCACCAGGAGTACAGGCATGTACCACCATGCCTGGCTCTGACATCGAGTCCTTAACCTTGTATGATTTTTATTTTTGTAAGTTTTGTGAAATGGAGTTATTTAAATGTAGAAGATATACAATCAATCAACAAATATATGAAAAAAATATTCATTATCGCTAGCAACTAGAAAAATTCAAATCAAAACAATGCTTTCCTGGTGACATTCCTTAATTTATTGCCTGATTTTTTGTATTTTGTTGTAAACTAGTTATTTGTTGACATGATTCAGACTTGACATTTAACCAGATATGTTGGGAAGGTATAGAAATGAATGGATTATTTTAAAAAAGAAGGTTTATTGTTCATTTAAGTCTACTTTGACAACATTCTCCTTAATCTCTCTGAGATTCATTGTCTATACTTGCATACTAAATATTTGACTATGCATTCAATTTTTTAATTAAATTATTTATTTATTCCAATTTGTTATATATGATACCAGAATGCAATTCATTTCATATTACACATATAGAACACAATTTTTAAAGTCTCTGGTTGTACCCAAATATTTTCACACCATTTGTGTCTTCATACATTTACTTAGGGTAATGATGTCTAACTCATTCCACCATCTTCCCTACCCATAAACCCCCTCCCTTCCTCCCCTGCCCCTTTTCCCTATCTAAAGTTCCTCCATTCCTCCCATGCTCTGAGCGCCATTGCCATTATGAGACAGCATCCTCATATCAAAGGATACATTCAACTTTTGGGTTTTGGGGATTGGCTTACTTCACTTAGCATTATATTCTCTGACTCCATCCATTTACCTGCAAATGCCATGATTTTATTCTCTTTTAGTGCTGAATAATGTTCCACTGTGTATATATACCAAAGTTTCCCTATCCATTCATCTACTGAAGGGCATCTGGGTTGGCTCCACAATTTAGCTATTATGAATTGTGGTGCTATAAATATTGATGTGGCTATGTCCCTGTAGTATGCTGTTTCTAGGTCCTTTGGGTAAAAACGGAAGAGTGGAACAGCTGGGTCAAATGGTGGTTCCATTCCAAGTTTTCCAAGGACTCTCTATACTGCTTTCCATATTGGCTGCATAAATTTGCCGTCCCAATGTATGAGTGTGCCTTTTTCCCCGCATCCTCACCAAGACTTACTGTTGTTTGTATTCTTAATAGCTGCCATTCCGACTGGAGTGAGTGGAAATCTTAGAGTAGTTTTGATTTGCATTTTTCTAATTGCTAGTGATGATGAATATTTTTTCATATATTTGTTGATGATTGTATATCCTCTTTTGAGAAGTGTCTGTTCAGGTACTTGGCTCATTTATTGATTGGATTATTTATTTCTTTTTGGTGTTAAGGTTTTTTAGTGCTTTATATATCCTAGAGTTAGTGTTCTCTCTGATGGGCTTGTAGTAAAGATTTGCTCCAATTCTGTAGGCTCTCTATTCACGTCACTGATTGTTTCTTTTGCTGAGAAGAAGCTTTTTAGCTTGAATCCATCCCAATTATTGATTCGTGGTTTTAATTCTTGTGCTATAGGAGTCTTATTAAGAAAGATGGGGCCTAATACAACATAATGAAGATGTCACCTGGTTTTTCTTCCAATAGACACAAGGTCGCTGGTTTAATTCCTAGGTCCTTGATCCACTTTGAGTTGAGTTTTGTGCATGGTGAGAGATAGGGGTTTAATTTCATTGTGTTACATGTGGAGTTCCAGTTTTCCCAGCACCATTTGTTGAAGAGGCTATCTTTTCTCCAATATATGTTTTTGGCACCTTTGTCTAATATGAGATAGCTATAATTATGTGGGTTTGTCTCTGTGTCCTCTATTCTGTACCATTGGTTTACCTGTCTGTTTTGGTGCCAATACCATGCTGTTTTTGTTACTTTTGTTCTGTAGTATAGTTTAAGGTCTGGAATAATAATACCACCGGCTTCACTCTTCTTGCTAAATATTATGCATTCAATTTTTAATTTTTTTAGAGAAAGCTACAAATATCCATCAATCCATACCTTGAGATGTGTTGTTTAAATACTTCTGGAAAAAGGGAGAATGACATAGTTGAAGAATTTCTCATCTTGATCTGTTTTGAACAGATACCATTTGTACATATACAAAAAGCTCATAGTTAGGCTCATCTACTCTGTTGTTAAATGTTCAGTTTACTCAATGGCTTTGTTTTTCTTCATGCAAGAAGATAAAATACATGTGAATTTCTTAAAAGCATGGAATGATCATGGATTCATCATTTTGTCAATATATTTGAAAATTGGCTAAATATCACTAAGGAATATCCAAATGATAATATTCAGTCAGTGAAAGAAATGAAGTGTGGATGCAAGAGAAATGAAGGATGCAGAGTGTCTAATTTGAAGTCTGAATATCTTGACAGTTATAAAATGGGAAAACATAGACTCTTGCATAGATGCACATGCTGCATGTTGGTAGAGCCATTAGCATAGATTTTGGAAACTTGATTAGTTGTAATAATGAACAGATTCTGAGGGTCTTGGGGGATATAGCAGGGGAATGGATTCCTACCCCCACCCCAAATTTCTGTATTATTAGCAAAGGACATTTCATAGGTGAAACATTTCACTAATCTTCTTTCCAGAGTCTGGTCTTCACAAATTATTCTTTACAATTCACTCTTCTTTTCTTTGCATGTTGCCTGCATATTTGCCAAGTATCCATTACCAATTAGTTCATGGCTTGATACTGTTGTAATATTGAGATATTTTTTTTAAGCTTTGATTATTGCAAGATTACTGGTAGGTATTTAGTTTTCTTTACATTCCTATCTCCTATATTATTATGTTTAGCTCACATATAATTATAAGAATTCCTTACATAAAATATGTTCTAATGTAACCCTGATCTTTTGCTAACTGAAGCACCATTAAGAGAGTTTTATTCTAAGAGGAAATGTAACATTGGTCCATTTTCTCTGGGAGATATATAGACTGAGTAGGTGAAGATGGGTGGGAAAGGCAAAGAATTGGCAGCTCAGGTGTGTCAAGTTATCTGTAAGGCTCATTGGCTGGGAATGAAAGACAAGAAATATGAGCGGAGATGGTAATGGGAGGATTTGGGTAACCCCATCTGGCCAAATACTTTGGTGACAGTGACAATGCACTTTTCCTGTGCAGGTGGGGATTCCCCACATGTTAGCTAGGTGCAGTCCACTTCTTCCTTATCATTCAAAATTCCATTCTTAGAATTTGGATGTGGCATTAAAATTTTATGTATTTCTGTACTTTGCAGTGATGGGGATCAAACCCAGGTCTGGCACATGGTAGGCAAGCAGTCTATTGCTTAGCTACATCCACAGCCCTGAAATTTCCTTTATTTCTCACAATTAGAGTGAAGTCATCTTGTTTTAATTTGAATCTCTTGAAGTTTATAGCTGTGCACATTCACTGGCATGAAAGTTGAAAATTCAGTTTAAGTCAGCATTCTTATTTTGTTCCCAAAACATCTCCCTTATATGCCTTCCTCACACAGCAACCCTGTATGGTATTTGTGGACAGAGATTGGTAGACACTGGGAAGATTCTTATCTCATCAGGTCATCTGCTCTCTTGTCCTCTCAGTACCCAAAACACAGAATCCTGGCATTCTCAATTTAATTTAGAAAATGTTCTAATAATAACCACTGTCTGATAATTCCCCAGTTACTCTGGCCAATCCATTTAAAGTGTGTATTTCAGTGGAGATATTTGACTAGGTAATAAAAAGTTTTACCTGTAATTGAAATTTTTCTTTCTAATTTTCATTTTTCTCTTTGAAAAGATAATTGTCACATTGGTTTTGGGACTGGTTACAGGCACCATTATCCTTTTGCTGAGAGATGATTGTACGGAAATCCGAAATAGGTAAGCAAATTTGAATCTCAATTTTGTGAAAATGCTATTACTTTGATGAAACTAATGAAAATCCATTCAGAATTTGAATTTATGACAATACAGGGTAAACATTGCTGTTTTATTATGGGGTAGGATCAGATAGTGTATTGAAATGGGAATGGAAGAGTTAATTTTCGGTTTCACATATGTATGTATGTGTGTAAATTACACATCATGGACATATCCTAACCATTTTGAAGTGCACAGTTTAGTGCCAAAACGTCCATTTATGTTGTCACCTGACAACACCATCCAACTGCCGACCATTTCTTTATCTTCTCAGGTGCAATCTTCAACCCACCTTAGAGTAACTACCCATACTCATCATTGCCACCTCTGCAACCATCTGCAACTTTCTGTCTCTGAATGTGGCCATTCTAGGAAACTTATCAATGTGAAGTCATACAATACTTGTCTTTTCATGACTGCCTTATTTTCCTCAGCATAAACTTGTTAAGTTTCTTCAAGTTGTAGCATAGGATATATTCTTTTTTTTAAAAGCCAAATAATATATGTGTAGAAACTACATTTTATTTATCCACTCATCCATTGCTGAAAATCAGGGTTGCTAACACCTTTGAGCTATTGTAGTCATGTTGCTATGGGGGGCACACACTTGTCTGAATCTTTCTTTCAACAGTCATTTGGGGCAGATACCCAGCAGTGGAATTGCTGGGTTATGTGGTAATTTTTTGAATACCTGCCAAAGCCTCTCCTACTGCATTTTACATTCTTAACAGCAATACATAAAGTTACAATATATTCTCATTCTCACAAAAGCTTACTTTGTTTTCAAATAACAGAGATCCACATGATCTTTGGAGAGATGTTTGATTTTAGTATTTTGCCAATTTTTAAGTTACATTCTTTGGTTTTGGGGTGTTTTGTTGTTGATGATGATTGGAATTCTTTATAGTTATGGGTTATTCATTCATTTTCAGATATATGATTTACAAATATTTTATTCCATTTTGTGGGGTTTTTTTGCACTCAGTTCATAATGCCTTTTATGCTGAGATGTTTTTTTGATTTTGAAATATACTTTTGCTCTGTTTTCTTTGGCGGTTTGTGAGTTTCCTCAATTTTGGTGTTTGCATGACTTGGGAGTATAAGATGTATGGATGGGAATCAGTTGTTCCTAACTCTGTATGGAAAGCACTTACATTAGTGTCATGCTCCTTTCTAGTTTCAGTCATAATATGCCCTTAAAACTCTTATTCCTAGGTGTCATTTTAAACAGCTGGCTCATGTTCTAAACATAGATTCTCAACATTCCAGAATTCATGGTTCTCATCACAATTCATGTATACAGAAGCACTTCTCACTAGGCACTGAGCTTCATGCTTGACAGCTATGGCTAATGTTAACTCCCAAGGGCCAGAGAAGTGGGTGGTCTCATCCCCATTTTACTGTTGAGAACTGTGGAGCTTGGTCTTTGTCCCAGATGCTGATCCTGATCCAAATAATGAGATGGTATTTGTTTGTTGTTTGTTTTGTTTTTATTTTTGTACTGGGAATTGAACCCAAGAATTGAAGGATATGACAACCATCCTGGGGGAGAAACAGTGTTAATCTTGATCCCCACAGGTAGGGAAGGAGGAAAGGAAAAGACTAAGGAAAAGAAAAGGAAGACATGTCAGTTTTTAAAAAAGCCTCCTGTGTTTGAGCAGCAAGATGCATACCAAAAGCCTGAAGTGCACTCTGGATACAGGCAAATTGTTTTTGAATGAAAAATAACCATAAATATTCTTTATTTAAATTTATTTATTAAAGTGAATTTTCCTATTTGTTGAAGTAGATGGTGTTTCCTTACAAAAAGATGACTATTACAGCTGTTTTGCAGAGTTAAGTCACTTTTTTACCTTCTTCAGGAAGAGATCTCTGATTTTTTTTTTTACAACTGTTAGTGTCTGTGTCCTGTGTACATGCTATTTCTTAACAAAGCTCAGCAGAATCACAGGGTTTTGAGGCCATGAAAGATGTACACTGTGCAGCAAGAAGACTGTTGAGGAATCTGTCATCAACTGCAGTTTGAAAGAAGTGAAAAGCTGACCACCACAGCTTTTGGTCAAAAATTTCAGAGAAATACATGAGTGTAGTCCTTTCTTCAGATGTTTTCTGGAGAAATTGGACACTAACGTTATTTTAATTTGCATTTTTGACTATCATTACCTACTTTTTTTAGAATATTTGGACTATGTGAGAGTAGCCTCTGTGTGTGTGATTCATCTACCTCTGCTTTGGATGATCAGGTGATTAGTGATGATTGTTTGGGTAAGAAAATGAAGTCTCAGCTTCTTCTCTGGAACCAGGGCCTTAGAACTTTCTTTGGACAGGAATATCCATCCTTCATTTGACATTGCTGTGAAGGCCAGTGGTTTAGGACTGTTCTTGGAATCAAGTGGTGTCTTAGCAATTCCTCTTACCTATGTAAATGAGGAACTGGGTTTGAATCCTGTGTAGGGTGTGAGCCACTTTGACTTTATAGCCTTAATGTGTTGTTTTGACAGCTAAACAAATTAGGAAAATGATGGGTTTTTTTAAAAAATTTGGATCTATTAATCCCACTTCAGGGTGTTCACACAAAATATTTGAAGTCAATTAGTTGAAGAGGGATCTGTGCTCCCGTGTTCATTGTAGCCCTGTGCACAGTCAATTTGGACATCAATCTAAGTGTCTGTCAGCTAACAAACAGATAAGGAAAATGGGTGAATGCCCCAGGGAATGCTGTTCAGCCACAGGAAAAGGAATTTTACCATTTGTGACACCATAGACGAAATTGACAACGTTATGCTAAGTAAAGGATCCAGACTGAGAAAGACAAAAGCCACATGTTCTTGCTTATATGTAAATTCTGACACTTTTAGTCTTTTAAAGACAGAGTAGAATGGTGTATGCCAGAATGGTGTATGTGAAGGTCAAAGGTACAAATCTCAGGAAGGCAGGAAGAATAGGATCTTCTTTCTATTGAGATACATTGAACAGGGTGGTGAATGCAGTACATAATAGTGTAGAATTCAAAATTGCTGAGCATAAACTCCAAATGTTCTCACCATAAAAATGATAAAAATTAAAGTATATGAACTTTAAAAGCAATGGATCTACATAATAGACTCATTTTATTATTCTTTGACATTTTACTCTCTAGGGACGTTTTTTTCTCAGTCCTTTTCATTTTTTGAGACAGAGTCTCATTAAGTTGATTTGGGCCTCCCTAAATAGCTGAGGTTGGCCTTGAACTTGTGATCCTCCTGATGCAGCCTCCTGAGTGCCTGAGAATACAGGTATAAGCTACCATACCCAACTAGCATTGAATTCTTGAAGGATAACTTCACTTTGTGCCCCACAAATGTTTGAGTATAGTTTGTCAATTTATAAAAAAAATAAATCTGATGTGTATTTATACATGGCACCTGAATTGCCCCCTTAAAAAGCATTGAGTGCACTAAACATTTTTCATAATAAAAACCTGTTTATTATGAAGTAAATCATCTTCTGTCTTAGAAGGGATTTTACTGTTTCCTTTTTCAGAATTATGAATATTACTGTATTGTTAAATGTGAGAAAAAAATTTAATTAAATTTTTCTTCTATTCCATTGTTTCCCCATGGACCTTTAGCTTGATATTAGGTTTACTAGGTACTAAAACTTATTTGGCTGTTTGTCTCTTCCATTCTTTTTAATTATTGATGAACTTTCATATTTAGAACAGCCTGCCCTCTTAGTTCTTTATTTCTTAGGTGTGATAAATATCTGTCTAGAGAAGCCAGGCTGCACCATAATTTTCTGTTGATGAGAGGCTGTTGTAGAAAAGGATGGACTTAAGTGGGTGATTTGAGGTGATGTAGAGTGTTTATTTAAATTGAAAGTACACATTCACACCCACATCTGAATGAAGTAAAGTGTACTTACTGCTTGTAGGGAGGATAGCTGTTTTTATAACATGGATATATGCTGGGAAAGCATGATGATGTATAGGTTTCAAATGAACCTTCTCATGTGCATGAATAAAAAGTTTTCTATAAACCCTTTAAGGTAGTTGGAATTGTTCATTTGTGTTTACATTTGAAAAACTTTCTCTTGTTTTTAAGTAATTTAAATGATGTACATATATCCTTTCTTTACATGTTTATAGTAATATCAATTTATGTGTCTGATTAGGCAGGGAAGCCCATGTTTTAAGGATGTTGGCAAACTCCCATGAAATCCTTATTTCACTTGAAATATAAACTAGCCGAACACTTTTCTTGCTAACCCTCAATTATTTTACTGATATACATATTAATAGTCTTCACACTGGTGATCAAATTGATTTTTATTATGAATAAACATCAGTTTGATGTTTTTTATCACTTTGGAAACCCCATAGGAAGGTGGTTGTTCCAAATCAAGGATGGTGTCCAGGCTTTCTGGTGGTCTTGTGTAGTTCTGGCATTTTCTTTCCACATGCCTTTACTCTTTTGTTACTTCACTTCAAAACCAAATTGAATTGAATACCTTAACCCTTTGGAGCTCTATTTAACTTAAAGTTTCTCTTCATACATTAGGAATGATACTCGGGATTTTTGTGAGTTAAATTCAAGGTGAAAGTATTTTATAACCTAAGTGTTAGCACAGGCTGTCACAGCAATGCACCAGACTCGGGGACTTACAGGACAAAACTTTGTTTTGTTTCAGTTGTAGAGTCTGGGAGTTTGGGTTCAGAGCTCCCTTCCAGCAGTAGGCTCCTGGGAGGGTCCCGCTCTGCCTATAGATGGCGCCGTCACCCTACATCTCTCATGGCATAGAGTTTCTGGGGTTTCTTACTCTTACCAGGGCACTGGTCCCATCATGGGGGCTCCACTCTCATGACCTTGCCTAAACCTCATTACTTAAGTTACCAATCTCAAAAAAACAAGTGCCAAATGTTTTCTCTGACATAAGGTAACTGACTCATAGTGGGGTAGGGATGGGAGAATGGGAGGAATAGATGAACTCTAGATAGGGCAGAGGGATGGGAGGAGAAGGGAGGGGACATAGGGTTAGAAATGATGGTGAATGTGATGGACATCATTATCCAAAGTACATGTATGAAGATACGGATTGGTGTGAACATATTTTATATACAACCAGAGGTATGAAAAATTGTGGTCTATATGTGTAATATGAATTGTAATGCATTCTACTGTCATTTCTTTCAAAATAAATAATAAATAAATAAATAAATAAAATTTAAATATGTACCTCCCAGTACTATTGCATTGGAGGTTATTTCTTTATCATATGAATTTTAGTGAATACAAGTCAGTGCACAGCAGTCCACACAGAAATTTCAATATGTACTATAGTGTGGAGTAACCAGGGCATCACTGAGGACACTCAGGGAGAGCCCTGATGGGATGATGCTTTCCTGTCTGTTTAAATGGAAAAGTTCCAGTTTAAAAAAAAGTCTTTGATTTTACATTAATTTTGGAAGGAGTTCTGAGGGACGAAACCAACCTAAGAGCTCTGATTTGACTGAGCTGCTTTTATTCCCATTTTCTCTTGACAGAGCACTGATGCTCTTCTTCCTGATGGTCTACCTGTGTCGCAGAACATTGGCGGTGGATCTCTTCATGATCCAGAAGAAGTGGTTTGTGTGAGTTGGACTCTGTTCAGGGAAGGGGCATTGAAGCCTGGTGGGCAAACTGGTCACATCCAGAATTGGGCCAAGGATTTCATAATGGGGATAACTGGCAAATTTATTTTCTTCTCATTTCTTTCCCATATCTTATGCTTAAAATTGTCATATTTAAATTGTGTCTATTTATCTTGTACAACACAAGCTTTTGAAGTATATATAGTTTACCAATATTATTTGAGAAAAGCAGTCTTCAATGGAGTGGAAAACCAAGAGCATATGAGGTCTGCTACTAATGGAAAAAATATCAAGGTTTGGGTGTGGTCAACAAGTCCCAATTTTGCAGAGAAAGTGAGGAATAAAAGGGTTGAGAATTGTCTTTGGTTTGAGAAAGTAATAGGTCATAAAGGCCCTCTTAAGGAAAATTCAGGAGCTTTGGTAGATATTTAAGTGTTAAGTATCAAATTGGAGATGGGATATGAAGTTTACAAAGTATGTAGCCAAGCGCAGCCCTGAGTGGATCAAAGAATGGAGAGAGCCAGAGGGCAGCCTTACAGGAAAGAGCAGGATAGTTTTGTTCATTGTAGTTTTCAAAGATGAAGGAGATTTGCCCATGCCTACATGCCCAGGAGTGGGATCACCACAGAGGGAAGGAATTAATTTCTAGTGGTGAAAGAGTTTGGAATTTGGAAAGAGAGGCATTAGGAATAGCAAAGATTAAGGTTTGGTATCTGACAAGGGTATCTTGTTGAAAGGCATGATCATTTTCTTGCTTCAACATAAGAATAGATTTGAAAAAAGGTTTGGGGATCTTCATCTATGTTGGATAGAGATGATTTTTTTGTTCTCTTACTGTTTGCTTAATATTATACTGATATTGGCACAATTAATATTCACAAGTACACAGGGAGCTACACCAGCTGTACTCATCCCTTCTTTTCTTTAAGGATCAAAGCTATGGATGGAGACTCTCTTTGTCATGAGTATAACAAGTTCACCTTCATATTCACTGGTGGGAAGAAGAAAAGCTTCTTTTTTGGAGGGAAGGGGTACTGGGGGTTGAATTGAAAGGCTTTTGATCACTGAGCCACCTCCCCATGCCTATTTTGTGTTTTATTTACAGACAGAGTCTCACTGAGTTGCTTAGCACCTCTCTTTTGCTGAGGGTGGCTTTAAACTTGCAATCCTCCTGTCTCAGCTTCGAGGGCCTCTGGGATTACAGGCATGCACCAAGTGCCAAGCCAAGCCAGAAAATCCTCTTTTACCAAGCCTCTTTTACCACTGAGATTAGCCCTTTCCAGTGAGCTAGCCTCAGAGGAAAAGCAGAGGCTCTGAGGAGAGTGAGGAAATGCAGACTGTGTTCCTGGAGGGGTGATGTGGGGTCAGAGGGGATGAAAGCAGGAAGGGTGCTTTCATGAGAGAGGTTCACAGCATGGGGCTGATGTCCCAGAGAGGATGCACCTGCGATGGGGAAGGACATAGGGGGATGAGCACAGAGCTTGTGGGCAGCTGCAGTGTTAGACCTGGTGGCAGCAGGAGTCTTAACAGCATCTTATCTGGGCTGTGCCTTTTTAAACTAACCTGGCCTGTGTGGTGTATGTTTTTATTCTATAGACATGAGTCCATCAGTGGGTATTACAGAGTGTCATCTTATTTCTTTGGAAGTCTTTTGCTTGATTTACTACTTGAGATGATATTGACAAGTTTTATATTTATTTATACACTATACTTCATGGCCGGTAAGTAACAAGACAAAGAGAATGTGTCTTTACTTTTGGATATGTGGAGAAGTTAACTTCTGTTTGCAAACATGTATTTTGTTCCCCAAATGGCAAAGCAATTTATAAGGGAGAAAGCATGTGTCTATTGGGTATTCTACAAATAGCTGGTTAATGTGGACACTCTTTTCTAGACTTTTCCCAACTGAACTATTAAAACTTCTTATAAAATGGTAATTTACTTATCCCCACTTATAAAACTATACATATTCTGTGTGTTTTGCACAAATATGGTCCAAATTTATAAAATTATTTGAAACTGTGTTAGAGGAGCCAGGATATTTATTGCCTTTTTCTACGTTTTTTTTTCTCTCTCTGTATATATTTCAATATAGAGATAAAATATCAATAGAAAGATCTTAGATACCTCTAATATCTGTAGAGACATATAGAGAGAGATAAGAAATCATTATACACTTATATTCTCTTCCTGTTTACTTTTCTAATTAGATAAAGATGATGACTTTGGGGTTTATTGATTTAATAAAATTACTTGTTTGATGAAGTAGACAATATCATTTGTGAATTATACTCTGGGTTTACCCCAGACTCTTTGAGTTATCGTTTCCATAATTTTCACTAATACACACACACAAACACACACATAAACATGTACATTCACACAAACCAAAAGTTTCTTTAACAACCCACTATAGAGTTTGAATCATTGATAGAGCTTAAATTTTCCATTTTAGAAATATATGTATGTGATAAGAATTATTCATGGAATCTGAAGCCCTGAACTCCTATCAGTGTTTTTGCAGCTGTTCCCAAATCTTCAGATCATATGACACAAAGCATTAGCTCATGATAATTGTAAACTACTATAAGAAACTTAACAGCCCTATTCGCAATCACAGAGCCATGTGGCAATTTGTCTATGAGGACTTAGTGATACCCACTCCTAGTTATATGGAGGGAAATAATGAAATTGGTGACCCAGGGTGTTAGGACAGAAGATGATTATTTTTGTTCTCTTACTGTTTGCTTAATATTATCCTGATATTTGCACAATAAATATTTACAAGTACACAGGGAGCTACACCAGCTGGACTCATGCCTTCTTTTCTTTAAGGATCAAAGCCATGGGCGGAGACTTTCTTTGTCATGACCTTTACCCTCCTTATCTTTGGTTTTTCATCCATTTCCATGACCCTGGCTCTAGCAGCAGGTTATAGCAAAGTCTCTATACAAGGAAATGTTGTGGACACCTATTTTACATTTATGCTGGTGAGTGTGAACTGTACTTCTCTGGGACAGAATTTTTCCCCTTGTTTGTCCCTTCACCTTCTGTCATGTAAAACCAGCTTTGAGGATTGTGTGGGTGGGTCTCTGATGCTTCAAGGAGGTTATATATTGAAATACAGTTTACATTAGAGAATGTGCAACTTTTCTTCTTCCTCTTATCCAGTCTTTTTTGCCAGTTTCTAATGTAGTTACTTAACTTTGGCCCCATGTACTTACTAATGAGCTTTTAAAAGGGACTTCTTGGTGACATATAAAACCTTCATAGGTTGGGACTTCAAAACCCAGAAAAATTGGCCGATTCCCTCACAGAAAACATAGCTCTCTGCCTGCCTTTCATGCTGGTGTTAGAGAACTGCCAGCTGTGTAAGCAGCAGAGGTGGTTTGGTTGGATTCACTATTCCCCAAGGTGAAAGTCAAGCTCACTGGGAAGTGTATTATGGGGGTCTAGCCAGATGCCTCTTGCATTTTGAAAACGTTTTAAAATTTATTGGAAAATTCTAAAGTCCATAGTATTAGGTCATCTGTTGTGTGGGTTACTGAGAATCTCTTACATTAATATATTTCTGTTTTATGCTTTTTAAAAAAGTTGCTTAATCTATCATGCTCCTAAATCTTGACCTCACTTAGATGACTCAACAGATAAACTGAACAAATTATCACATTCCCTCCACTACTATGTCAGTGATGCAGACATGCTCAACCTACAGAAGGAAAAGATGTCTTTCAATGACATTTATGGAGCACATATTCTTATTAAGAATTGTTTATTATTCAGTTATAGTTATCCATAATATTGGGGTTCATTTGGGTTTAACCATTCCAGCATAGCTTAGCACATACTATTGCCAAAGTTGAGTTCTTCTGTTTCTGAATTTGGAGATGAATATGAATATCATTAAAAAAGTGATGTCTTGTTTTTATATCATGTACTGTAACAAAAATGTACTTCAATAAAATAAGATGTTTTGTTTTATTTGATACTTGATTGATTTTGTTATTTAAAGGTTTCCATGTAGAATTTTAAAAGCTAGTCATGAAATTGCATTTCACTCAGGATTACCATGTTAGGTATCAGGCACTTGTTAAGTCAATTCTGATATACGCAGGTACACCAACACTATCATTGCTATGCATATCCCAACATACCCTGTACAAGTTAGGAAAAGTATTATGTGGATTCCTTAGCAGTCCCTCTAGTTCATCTCCAGCATTCCATCCTGAGTCAGCCTTACAATGCTGCTTTTTCATAGCTTTAAATGAAGAGATTCACTATGTATTCTGCTGTACTACACTGCATTCTGCTGTTTATCAGTTCTAGGCTTTGGGTAACCTGAAACCTGCAATTCTGAAGCCCAAATTATTATTAACATCATGGATACAACATGCAAACTTTGTAAATAACAACACTTATTGATGTGTGGAAGTAGAGAGGGATATGTGTTGCTCAGGAATGTTCTGTATATGTTTGTAGGTTTCTAAGATTTTTAGAGGTAACACATGGTAGAGATATAATTAGAATAGTGAGTACAGTCAGCCCTTCAAATACATACTTTATGGATTATAAGATGCAATTGACTACAAACAAAACTTACAAAACAAGTACTGTGTCTGCACAGTTTTTCTTTTTTATTCATTATTCTCTAAACTATTTAGTGTGTATAAGTTATATATCTATGGTATGAAATACATACATAGCATTTCTATGCTGCTAGGTATTATAAGAAATATGGAGCTAATTTAAAATCAAAGGATATATATATATATATA